TTAGAAACATCAATGAGAGAGAAACATTGATCAGCTGCCTCCTGCACACTCCCTACTGGGGATGTGCCTACAACCAAGGTACATGCCCTTGACTGGAATCGAACCTGGGACCCTTGAGTCCGAAGGCTGACACTCTATCCACTGAGCCAAACCGGTTAGGGCAAAGATGTGTCTTTCTAAAGCCATCATTCACCATGTCAGTTCTAAGGTCAGAATTCTTTAACAAATTCCAATTCTCATGTGATAAAGTCCAATTGCTCTGCCTGGCATTTAAGATCTTCTATAACCTGGTCCCAACCTAATTTTCCAGCCTTATCTTCCAGGCCTCTGCCACCTGAACCAGTCAGACAGTTTTTTGCACCTACTTGCATGGTCCTGCCTCCCCAAACCTGGAATGTGTTACCCCTATGCTCCTGTTCTCTTAATCCACTCATTTTCACCTCTAGTCTCAAATATTATCTAGTCTATCAAGGCTTTCCTGGATCTCTAAGTACACAGAAATCTTTACCCTTTGGATACAATCTCATTTCTCTCGATCCCTATTAGGATAATAATCATCTCTGCTTGCCAGGGACTGAGGGGGTTTCCCGGGTCATGGGACTTTCAGTGCTAAAACTTAACGGTTCCAGGCAAACTAGGCCAGTTGGTCACCTTATCAATAACATATGTGGTGACAGTCCTAGGGAAGGAAAAGAAGGCAATACGTTTTGTGGATGCCTACTGTGGAAATTCCGATGGCCACAAAAACTCCATGGAGGGGAAAGAAAGGTGAGGGAGTACACATGTTGGTCCCAAGGATAACCCTGGGGCTGAGACCTTCAGATGAACGTGAACACACAGCTAAAGGCAGCCCACTTCTGCAGTTCCCTGCATTTTCCTCCCGCCGCCAGCACCAAGGAAAAGCAAGGGCAATAAAAAAAATATACATTTCAGGTAAGGGACTTTTCTTTTCTTTATTGATTAGGTATTACATATGTGTCCTTATCCCCCCATTTCTCCCCCAGCCTCCCCCGCCCCAGCTCGTGCCCTCACCCCCCTAATGTCTGTGTCCATTGGTTAGGCTTATATGCATGCATACAAGTCTTTTGGTTGATTTCTCCCCCTTCCCTCACACCCTCCTCTGTCTTCCCTCTGAGGTTTGATGGTCTGATCGATGCTTCTCTGTCTCTGGATCTGTTTTTGTTCATCAGTTTATGTTCATTACATTCCCCAAATGAGTGAGATCATGTGATATTTATCTTTCTCTGACTGACTTATTTCGCTTAGCATAATGCTCTCCAGGTCCATCCATGCTGTTGCAAATCAAGTAAAGGACTTTTAATAAGGAGCTAAGTGGGTGGGTAAAGTACAAATCTTAGAACCAAGAGGAAAATCTAGACAGGTAAACAACCGTTTCCTTTTATTGTTACATTGGAAACAATCAGAATAAAAGTTATTTGTCACTAAGAGAATTAAATGAAACCCACAAGTTAAGGTCAAACTCTCTGGAGGTTTTCTAATGCCAAGTTGAAATCCAAGGTGAATTATAAAGGTTTGGTAAAACGGCAGCAGACAAACCAGTCAGAGATTGTGTTAGAAACTGAGTCACCTTAAGTCACCAAGGGTCCCGCTTGGCTTTCTACTGATATTTGACCATGTCATATAGAACTGTATGACTTCATCTTCCATAATAACCATTTACAGCTGTAGTTCATTGGGAGGACCAAAGAACCTCTGATAAAGTTAATTCGTATATCAAAGTGGAGGCCAGGCAGTGGCCCAACCCAAGTCACATATCTAAAGCTAAGACAGCTTGCACGTATGAGAAATGCCTCAAGGAAACCTAACACCAATCACAATCCTCCCACTCAGTTTTAGAGAATTTACCTTACCCTAAAAAATAGGTCCTTATAAGGAAATACTTGACCTCCAGCAAATCATGCCCTGTTACTGTTGTCTCTTCTAAAGTTCTATAAAACTCCCTCTTGCCCCAAACTCCTCAGGAAGCATTCTCCACTGCTTCTGAAACTCTGTACTTCCTCAATCCATGGACTGTTTTTCCTTGAACAAAGGACATAAACTGTGGAGAGCGGCTACAGCGTTTGGACAGTTTCAAGCCTCGGACTAATGAAAGGGCACAGTCCTCTTGTGGCAAAGCCACGTGCAGGTACCAGCTTGGAGGGCAAAGCCCTCCCAGCACAATTATAGCCAAAGGCTATGGTTGTAAGGTTGACCTTATGGTCCGAATCTGTGGTCCCAGGTGGCTGAGTGATGTAGGCTGAGGGAGGTGCAGCAAGTGCTGCTAAAACAAAGCTTGATAGAGTTCTCAGGTGCATGTAATTAAGTAGATTTGAAACTCATGAGAACATTGTAAACATCTTGACCACGTCCTTGCTTTGCCTCATGGGCTCTGACTATAAAATAAAGACTTGGCTTACAGGCTGTGGCACTGTCTCTCCATCTGACAACAGTGTCCCACCTGGCCCCAACTATATTCTCTTGTCTATTTTCTTTAATCCTTCACCACTCCTCCTCAGGTTCACCAGTGACCATGCTGGACGCAGTTCAATAAACTCGTTGCTAAATTGTTTTAGCTTTGTCATTGACACTTCCTAGAACAAGCATCAGCTGTTTGGTAGGAATGCATGGGGACAGAACCCATCACAAGCGAGAAATGAGGGACTTGAGAGAACTCACCATAGAAAATGAAGTGTGGCAGAATGAATGAGCCAATTTAGCAACAGGCCCTGAAGGTCAAGTAAGGGGTATTGGATTTGAAGCAATGTGGTAGTTTGAACCTGAGCCCTTCTGCTAAAAAAAAGACAACAGGTCCACAATGAAGTTGCTCCCAGACATGGAATCTTTAACCAGCCAATCTACCTGATAGATCCCTACCATCTCTTAGAGAAAAATGACCTTGCCATAATCAATCTGCTTTTTTGCCTAGCATAACTTCTTTTTTTAATACTTTTTAAAAAATATATTTTATTGATTTTTTTTTTTTACAGAGAGGAAGGGAGAAGGAAAGAGAGTTAGAAACATCGATGAGAAAGAAACATTGATCAGCTTCCTCCTGCACACCTCCCACTGGGGATGTGCCTGCAACCAAGGTACATGCCCTTGACTGGAATCGAACCTGGGTCCTTTCAGTCTGCAGGCTGATGCTCTACCCACTAAGCCAAACGGGTTAGGGCCTAGTATAACTTCTTTGTTCCTGCTTCCTTCTACCCATGAAAGTCTTTCATTTTGTTCAGTTCCTTGGAGCTCCTTTGAATAAGATCTTTAAAATGTCCTCAGTTGAATTTCGTTTTTTAAAACTTTGAATCCAGTTACCTTGGCAGTGTACATTGTCTTTTGGGGAGAAAAAGTGCTGCTGTGTGTAAAGGAACATGCTATCCCAATGAATTCTATTGCTCTCCGAGGTCCGAATAATCTGTGACATCACCTACCCTGCCCTATCCCTTAAGCACAGTATAATTTATAGGGGAGCAAGCGACTGTCACTGGGGACTAAGAGGATCCACCATGGCTGGGTAAACCACCAGTCAGCTGATGTCTGAAGAGGATAGAGGGCTTCCTGGAAAGGAGACTGGACCAGAAGAGCTCAGTGAGGCAAGGACTGGGGCTAAGGGAGGCCTGGGATGATTAAGTAGTGATGTCAGGCACCGTTTGGAACCCCAGAAGCAGCATGTTTTGGGTGGCATATTCTGATCCCCTTCAATATTAGCATGGATTACTTTTTAGTTTATTACTTATTGCAGTTACTTATGTTTCTTTCTCTATTAGGTAGGTGATCAACTTAAGAAAAAGACCTGTCTTATTCACCTGCTCAACCTCAGGAGGGAGCTCAGGCATTAAATATCAAGGGAACCTGTTGTATGTACCTTTCTAATCAGCCCACAATTGCTTTAGGTGTGCAAACCAAATACTCAACTTGCTAGAATTATTTTAATATGAGAGTAACAAGCTTTATGACTTAATTTGTATGATCTGTTGTTGTACTGAGGTCTTTGCTTCCATCCCCATTTTAGGATACATTCAAAATAAGCCAAGTGTTACTCGAAAAAGGCTAGATTAATTTGTTGAGAGATGTACCTAATTTTCTCAGTGCATGGTTTCATTGTGCTTACAAGAAAAACTCGTAATGCTGTACCAAGGTCAAAATAATTTTTAAATAATTAAATTCTCTTTCTTCCATTTTACTCACACCAGTGCTTTAACCTGCAATAACCCGTAGTCAGTTCCCATTTAATTTGTAGGCATAAACCATTGTTAAAAAATTTGATACTTTGCCACAATTTGGCTTTTTAAAAAGCAAAATAAAATATCTGACACTACAGATGGTCAAGGCATCGTTCCTATACAGCTTGCTCTTTCCAAATATTTTGTAATCAGAGATCTGTGTTTTGAAAGCTCTTTGCAAAACTAAACACAGGGATCCTCAGGAGACCCTAGGCCAGGAAATGCTTTCAGCCGGGTCCCAATGTCACCCCTCAAAGCGTGGGACGGGAAAGGCCGGGCCACGGGAAATGGCTGAGGGCAGCCAAAGGCTGCAGGGGGCCGTCCCGCTCCGGGGCGAAGGCGGGGACCGAGCCTCGTGGGGCCGAGAGGAGGCCCCGCTCCCCGCGGCGCGGGATCGCGGCACCCCAGCCCCTCCCAACCCGCGCAGCCCGAATCCGGATACCACGGGCGCGTCGGGGCGGCCCCTTCCGCTCACTTCCGGGCGCCGGCCCGGCCATGCATCTCCTGCGGGGCACGGCTCGCGGGGCTCGGTGCCCACGCAGCCAGCTCGCCG